TTTCCTTCAGCATCAGTGACATTTGAGACTGATGCAGCTGTAATAATCTAATACTTTTTTCTTGTGTTAATAGTGCTTTCATATCCTGCCTGAGTGTGTAGGACGGCTTGTGTAATGTTGTGATAATGCACTATGATTTGGGTCACAGTGTGTTTGGGACTATGGGAATGTAGTAAAGCTAAAGTTAACATCATCTTTGCATTTTTTATTTTTTTTTTAAGCCTGTGCCATCCAGGACCTTGCCCTTCATGCCCAGCCTTTGTGACAAAGACATGTGAATGTGGACAAACAAGGTGAGAATGCTTATTATACAAACATAAGTTTATATAACAATAGTTTATGTAATAAAATCTTTCTAATAGTTTGTTAAAAGTTTACAGAACAAAGTTTATTCTCAGCTGTAACTTTTATTTTTGTGCACTAAAGTAATATCAAGTATGTTATATTTTTTAAAAAATGCAATTACTTTAATTCTTTTAAGTAAAAATAAAAATTTAAAGTTATCTGTGTTAAAATCAATTTACGGTAGATGTAGTTGAATTGCCCAAGCAGTCTGTGAGTTGATTTGATTTTTGAATTCCTATTCTAATATATATTTTTTTGAAGACACAGAGGACGAAGTAGGAAAAGGTTCACACTTTTTCTATCTGAACGGGATGTAAAGTTGAGTTACTCCAAAACCAACATGTACATATCTGGGAACCTGTACAACTAGCAAGAGAGAAGTCTGCAGTGAATTCCAGACTTGAAGGCTCTCTTTTCCTTGCATGTTTGATGCATATGGTGTTATTGCCAACAGGAAGACTGTACTGCCCATACTACCTGTGATCTCTTAAATTCAGTTGTTGGGAGTTTGTAGAGTCCTCATTCTATCTACGTAGAACTGATTTTAAAATCAGTAAAATTTTAAAATCAATAAAACTGATTTTATTACTGTGTAATAAAATTTTTGCCTGTGCTCTTTTCCAGAATCAAAACAAAACCAAATTTCAGTGTTCACATTCTTGCTCTAGAAAAAAAAAGGTTTCAGACTTCTGCAATTATTTCTGAAAGTTTTAATATAGTATTAGGTGATTGTACTTTTTCAAAAGAGGGTACTAGCTGGTTTTATGGCAGTATTTGTAGTTGTCTTCACTAGAAAAATGGATTGGTTGTAGATCACTGAATTTTATTTTACACAGTAAAATCATCTCCTTTTTTTCCCCTTTTTTTAATAGCTATCCTTGCATTTAAAAGGGTAGTTGAAGTGTAACTTCATTTTTTTTTTTCCCCCAGGTGCCAACTACTTTCCCCAGATTGCTGATTTTTGTAATTTATGCATTTCATACTTCAAACTTGCTTCTGAATAGCATTTTTTCATATGCACTGTGTCAGCATGCAAACTGTGTGGTGTGACACCTCTGACTTTAAGATGGTTTAAAGTTACTGTTTCAAATGTACATTTTACAACCATTGCACGAGTGGAAAAAGACGATCCTATATTGCCCTGTCTTATTTATTTAACTTGTTTGTTTTATTTTTTGAGTTTTTAATGAATGTAAAAACTCAACTCTTCCCATAGACTACTGACTCACTATTAAGGCCCACATCTCTGTTTTCATTGAGCTCAGTGGATTTAGGATTGTTTAAATCTTCAGAAAGATGTTTGTAATAGAGATTCTTGCTCTTCTGACATGATGTAGAACCATACTACATTAAAGTTAGAATATCACCATTTATTTTTCCATTTTGTTGAGGGAAAATTCTGTAGACTCACTACTGTGATAAGCATCTTAATTTAGGGGGGGTGGAAAGGGCAAGCAGGGGGAAAAAATAGGGGGCTGTTTCCTAAAAACTCTTTCATTGCTAAATTATCCTCCCTTTCAAAGACTTTGGAGTTTTACTGAAAAATAATTTTTCATTTTAACAAATGTTCTATTGATATAAAGGCAGCTGACAGACTATGGTGTCATTTCTCTACAGTCATTCAGTTCGCTGTGGCCAGTCAACAAAAATTCATTGCTCTAACGTCTGTGGAAATACTTTAAACTGTGGTAAGCACAGTTGTACTCAAGTGTGTCATGCAGGAAAATGTGCACCTTGCCAGTTAACCATACAGCAAGGTAAGCCTTGGAATGCCTTATGTCTGTCCACTCTGTACTACAAAAACAAGGAGGTGAAAGAAGCCAGTAGCAAGAGGCAACTGCTTTTTTATTACTTAGCAAAGCCAAAACCTGTTGCTTAAAAAGTGGCAAACGTGTCAACATCACTCAATATTTAAATAAGAACATAAACATGACTAGAGAGAGTGCTGCCAAGATAATCAGGCTGTTGGAGCATGTGACCTGTTAGGACAGTCTGGTGGTACTGGTCTTCGTTAGCTTGAGGAGGCTGAGTGGTGGCCTTTCAGTAGCAAAGGCTGCAGACAGGCTGTGCACTGGGGGAGGATGAGGGACAATGAGCCGAAGATGAAATGGTGTATCTAGCTATAAGGAGAAACTTCTCTTGGAAGCTTGGAGGTTTTCAAGACCCAAGTGAATAAAACCCTGAGTAACGTGGTCTGTTCTTGTTGCTGACTGCCTTAAGTAGGGGCTTGGACTGGCTGTTCCCCCCAGGATCCTTCTGGCCTGAAGAGTCCTATGATCCTACTTAATCTTTTACTATAATTCTGAGACTTGATTAAACAGTACATGGAAGAAGAACAGAAAGAAGTACAGGAAAGCATATTTCAACAAGCTAGTCATAGTTTCTGTTAAAATTTTCTAAATTTGGTATTGAACGGAAATGAAATTGTCCAAGTATGTGCACCAGTATACGAAGACACTTTTGTTGATCAATGGATATCAGTTTTATAATGATAAAATTGCAAGTTAATTTTCTCAGCTTTTAAGGTAAGAATTAACTTACGAATACTGCTTTAATAAGTAAGCTTTTTGCGCAGTTAGTACTATCCCTTTAGCTTTTATTTCCTTATCAAAATAAAACAGGAACTCCAGCTTCTGTAGGACTGAGAAGCCTTTTGGTGAAATTAAATTTAAAGAGCAACTTCATTATCCTTCTAAAAGCTGACTGTGACAGTTTTTCCAAAACTTTTTTTTTTTTTTTCTTTTTATATTTGCTGTATTGCTGGAGGTGATTTGTCACTGATGTTTTCTTCTGTTGTTTTCTGTGGCATATTGCTTTCTTTCAGTGTGTTACTGTGGAAGCAACTTTAAAGAAGTATTGTGTGGGACAAAGGAAGAATTCTCTGATGGTTTTGGGAATTTCTCATGTCAGAATATATGTGGCAAGTAAGGTCACTGTAATTTAAGCTTTTGAAAACAAAAGATCATTTTATTCACAATCAGTAATTATGATACCCGATTCCCTTTTTTCTTCTTTTTTTTTGTTTTGTTTCTTTTCTATTTTTTTTGTTTTGTTTTCAGAAAATTAAATTGTGGGAGGCACAACTGCACACAAGTCTGCCACCCTCAGCCTTGCCAGCTTTGTCCACGACTTCCACAAGTAGTGTACCGCTGTCCTTGTGGCCAGACTCCTCTCAGCAAGTTACTGGAACTGGGATGTGTTGAACGTAAAATATGCACAGACCCCATCCCGTCTTGTGGAAAAACATGTGGCAAACCTCTTTCCTGTGGTAGCTATGGTAATTAGAACTTTCTGCATCAAAGTATTGAAATTATCTCATTTAAAAAAAAAAAGTAATCGTAAACTGTTTCATTTCAAGACGTAAATATTTGATTAGTGATTTTGAGCTTTAAACTGAGTGTAAAAGCTGCTGCAGAGCCTGCAGCCTGGCTGTTTGTTCATAATGATACCTTAATATCAGGAAATCTATATGCCTAGAAAACAGTAACACTAGCTAGCCTTTTAAATTTTGTTTACATACACCTTTCCTATATTGGTAGAGGAACAGAGCTGTAGGAATTTCCAGAGAGGAGTGTGTACTGATGTCTTTTAAAGGTCCACATAGATCTTTGGCTCTCATCTGGAGACTGGTAGAGATAAATGACTTTCTTGAGATGCCTGCAGTACATACTCATGTCCTGCTGCTATAAGAGGGTCATGATGTAAAAAGTAGCATTAGAAAGCTGGAGAAAGTTATGTGACACTTCAACGTGGTGCATTAGGTAATTCAAGTGTATTTAAGTCTGAGATTGTATGAAGCTCCAGTGTTAGAGATTACATATTTAATCATGATTTGTTAGACTTCAGAGAGGTGAGAGATCAATGCTGTCAAGACAAGGACTTCTTATTAATGACTGGTCCATTCTGTCAGTCCAAGGACAATAATCAGAAAGGGAATGAGTAATTTATGTTTTAGCTGAATTTCAGTTAACCTAGTAAATGAAATATGAACGTGCACATAGCAAGTCATTCTTTTGGGCTGAAGAGGAAACAAAAAGTTACTTAAAATTCCTGGAACATGAATAAGAGAGTATCACACAAATTCTTTTTTTTTTTTTTTTTCACTTCATACATTAATGTAAAAAAATATTTTAAATGTATGCATTTTCAATGTTAACTGTAGACCTGAAACACTAGTCTGTAGATTTCAGGATTAAAAAGCTGAAAATAATGGCAAAATTTTATACACATTTAACTCAAAATATTTGTTTGGAAGCACAGTTGCATGTAAGCTTAGTATCTTTCACCGGTGATGCTCCTAATAAATATGAAGTTCCAGGTCCTGGATTTTATATTTGTATTAATTGTTAATCTTTCTATTTTCATTTTGCCAGAGTTAGTTCATACATGCGAAAGCCTTTGCCATGAAGGAGACTGTAGACCATGTTCCCACACATCGAATATTTATTGTAGGTGTGGCTTCAAAAAAAAGGTGAGTGTATAAAGCTTGATCATGGGAACGGGTAATATTTGTTGGTTTTAGAGCTATGGAGAAGGAGCTGAAATAGCTGAGGAAAAGAAAGCTAAGAAGTAGAAGAGGTGCTGTGTTCCTCAGTTGCAAGCACCTCCATTGTATACTAACAGATAGATGCTAATTAAGTTAATCTGTGAAGTGCTAACATAGGCTATTTACAGTGAAGGAAGTTTTTTGAAGTATTTTTGCAGAGTTTACCTGGATTTCTGTTTGTTGAAGCTGACTACAAAGCCCTAATTATTTTGCATTATTTATAAAGCACAAAGAATGGTAGTTTTACCAAGAATAATGTAAGCTAAGAGAAGAAAGGTAGCCTAACATAAAGAGCTAAAACTTTATAGTAATAGCTTGTAGATGTGCTGTAGAATTTTTTTTGAGAGACTGAAGTTTTTACCTGTCACCATTCTTTGTACGATTATGTAACAATCCAGCAGATTTTCAGCAATTGTTACATAAGAATCAATATATTTTTTAACTATGCTGCTTTCTGTAATCATAGCTTTGAAGTCTTTGGCTACTATCATATGAGCCTTGATGACTTATTTTCTGACCTGTTACATATCATGTATAAGTAGAGATGGCTTCCAAATATGTAAGTACATAGAAATAACTGAGACTTTGCTTGAGGTTGGAACAGCTTTCTCCTGCAAGTTTGCTAAAGGTAGTTACAAGGTAGAAGGCTTCAGATTCTCTTTCATTTTGAGGCCTGACACAAAGTAGTGAGGGTTGGGGATTAGTTTATGCAGCTTCTCAAGCATCAGAAAACTGCTTCTTGGAAAAAATGAGTGGACTAATGTGATAATTTAAATCAGTCATGAAAAATGTGCTCAGAAATGGCAAGTCAGAATGTAAAGTTATGATAACTGAAGGTTTAAGAATAGTCAATCAGCAGTGTTCTTTCTATCCATCACCTTTTATTTTCATGTTGAGGTCTTTAGGTAAAACTTCTCAGATCATTAGATTTTACTTTTCCTTTCTCTTTTCCTGGCTTTCTCTTTTCCTTCTGTCCTGGTTTCGCTAGGGTAGGGATGATTTTCACCTGAAGCCGGGAGGGAGCTCTAGCTGGGGCAGACAACTGAACAAGCTGGTGGGTTATTTGCTGCCATGCTGGCATCATGCCCACAGCAGGAGAGCTGACCTGGAGCCAGGCAGTTTGGGGTGGGTAGTTCAGGGAGCATGGGCTGTTTCTGGGTCTTGGGGTGTGAGCTGCAGTTGCTGGCAAGAGCCTGTGCAATGGTCTCCTTCCTTGTACCCTTTGTTTTATTATTATTATTATTATTATTATTGTTATTATTTGTGTACAAGTCGCACTTGACAGGCGACTCCTGCCAACTGTAAAGCAAAGGCAGGTAGCCCTTAAAGGAAGATGTCACATGTTCACCCAGTTAAGTGGTCCACCATGGAATAATAGTTATATTATTATATAATATTGTTATTTATAGTGTTACTGCTGTTATTTATTGTTCTTTCTGTGTTGCATTAAATTCTCCTTATCTCAGGATTTTGTATTTTTCTCCCTTTTCCCCTCTCCTTCAAGGAGGGGGGGGCGGCGGGGAAGGCTGGGGGAAGGGTGAGTGAGCAGCCAAGTGAAGCCCAGCTCCCACCTGGGGTTAGACCACAACAGTCATTTTGGCACCTAACATGGGGCACAAAGGGCTGAGACAATGAGGGAATCTGACCAAAGTGCATTAAACCAATATTGTTATACACATTCTTTCCTTTTTGGTATTAGTTAAACAGTGCACGTCCACAATGTTAACCCATTTCCTTGCATGGTTGTCTTGTGTTCATTCTTACATTCTGTATGTGATGGCGTTTGTTGTCTCTGGGTTAGGAGTCTTGTCTTCCTTTACTGGATGCTGGTGACTTATGGTACAATTGTGTCATGGGCTATGAGGTTAAGGGGGTATGTGCATACAGCCTTGTTTTTTTCAGTGATCTTACCCAATCTGTGGGTGAGGCAGAGGAGGAGATTATTCCAGCTTTTGAGAATCCTTGGAACTTCCAGACCAGCATGTTTGTGGTGCTACATGTTTTGAATATTTGCCAAGATTTGTTTAGGGTTATACAGTTCTTCTCTAAGAATGTCACCCACAGATCTGCCCCAGGGCTGGATAGTTATGAGTGACAGGGTGTGTGAGAGAGTATGGGCAAGTGCCTAGGCCAGTGGTCACCTCCAGTGTTCTGGAATGTCACCCCCGCACAAGTGAAGAGTCCCAACAAACTGGTAACGCATTTACAAAAGGTGTTTTGTCAACCTGGCAATCCCCAAGAAACACAAATCGCAGCAATGTGTTGGGGCCTTGCCCACACCTAGCGAGTGATTCTCAACACTGTTCAGTGCCCTCGGGGAAAAGGATGTCTCTGGACCTAAAAAGAGCCCATGAGATTCTGCAGCTGACCTGCAGAACCAACCCGTGCCTGTATCAGTCACCCCAATAGAGAAGAAGAAATACACAAAGAAATCAGTGTGCATCGTGAGGGGATGATGATGAACAGCAGCCATCATGAGAACAGGAGGAAAAACCATAGGTGGTCACTCAGTCCCTATCCCTGAGTAAGCTGCGAGACATATGAAAGGATTTCAGCTGTCTACCTGGTGAGCAGCTTCTAACCTGGCTGCTCCAGTACTGGACCAGTGGGGCTGGCAGTGTGGAAGTAGAGGGGAAGGAGGCCAAGCAACTGGGATCCCTGTCCAGAGAAGGGGGCATTGACAAAGCAGTTGGGAAAAAGACACAAGCCCTCAGCCTCTGGAGGTGACTCCTGTCAGGTGTAAAGGAAAGGTAACCCTTCAAGGAAGATGTTTCATGTCACCCAGTTAAGTGGACCACCATGGAGAGATGCATCCAGTACCTGAGGAAGTTTGCTGTGCTCGAATTGACTAATGATAACCAGAACGAGCAGTTGCCCAGAGATCCAGTTGAAGTCCAATGCACACCACCCATGTGGTGGATGCTTCTGTGAGGTGCACCACCATCATAGGCCAGCTCCTTGTCAGTAGCGTCCTGAAGATTGGCCAGGGACAAACGGTGGGTGCATTGGCTGGCCAGCTCCAGCAATATGAAGAAAGCCTCTCCTCTCTACAGGCCGCCTTTTCTGCTGTGGAGGAGCAGTCCTAGCGCCATTGTATGGAGTGACCCAGCAGAAGTCTTCGAGAAAGGGAAGAGAATCACTGAAATTCTCCTGAATGCAGGTTTTGCCATAAAGCAAAGTAAGGTTAAGGGACCTACCTGCACAAGAGATCCAGTTATTGGGAACAAAATGGCCATCACCAGATCACAATGGATGTAATCAACCAGATATCAGCCATGTCCTCACTGACCAGTAAAAAGGAGACACAGGCTTTCTTGGGCCCTGTGAGTTTCTGGAGGATGCACATCCCAGATTACAGTCTGATTGTGATTCCTCTCTACCAAGAGACCCGGAAAAAGAATGATTTTAGATGAGGCCCTGAGCAGCAGCAAGCCTT